GTTGCAAACCAGATGCAAATGAGTCAAATTCATTCATATTTTGTGAGGGTAACATAAATGTAACATACATAAAATGACATATTTTGAAAATGATTACAAGAGAGTTTCCATGGTTAAGTGGTTAATTAGCTTGCTCTTTAACCCTTTCAGAGCCAAGAAAAGATAATATGTTGATTTATATCTAATTTAACTGTCCTCTGATACCAAAAAAGTAAGATTAATTTTTCAGGGATTAAATCTTTTTTTTAAACATGTGCAACATGTACACACCTGGTCTTCTGATTTTGTTTCACCATAATCTGAGAAGAGTATGTTTTTTTTGCTATTTCACAATATGTCTTTGCTGCTTCTTTTTCTTCTTCTTCATGTTCACCGGCTGCAAAATCCAATGGAAAGTCCTGGACTTTTGTTTTGTTCCAGGACTTGACTGTTGCGTGCACATCCATTCTGACAGATCTGGCTTATTTGTATGAGACCGGTTTATCTCCTCTCAGGCAGATACAATATGACTTCAAAAGAAACACTCTTAATCAGTCAACTTTTACAACATGCAGTTGGTCTTTTCTTACCCGTCCAAACATTATCAACAGTTTAAATTTAGCGGTTGTTTAATTTTTGGTAGTTCTGTTTCTCTGAAGCATCAGTAATGTTTATGCTTTGCTAACCGCTTAAAGATAGCCATTTTAAACATATAGTTACAAACAGCAAAGGCACATACAAAATTTCAGTGAACAGAATATTAGTATCCCCAAAGTAGAAAAATTTGCTTAAGAACTGAAATTAAAAAGATTCTATTTCAATAGGTTATTGTTATAATTATACTTTTCCATATGGGTTCCAAAACCCTATTTTAGGGGAAAAAATAGAACAGACCCATTCGAATAAGCATGTCCTAAAAGGCGACCAATTAGGAGTTTGCTGAAATCAGATGTGTTGGGCTAAAAGGGGCAGATATCACAGCCAAGCAGTAAATCACTACACAACATGCCAATCACCCCTTTAAGAGCCAACACAGAAAAAGTTATAATTATTTCAACACTGTGTCTTACAAATTAAACTCACGTCATTTACCATGCATCTGGGATTTGACAATGCGTGTGGTATATGAAGATATATAATGCCTTGAAATAAAACTAAGCATCAACAAAGGAGAATGAATAGATAATCAAATGTTTAAAGTCCATATTTCTCTTTGTACTTGAGTCGAGCCACCTCCAGCATGGCTTGCTTGCGCTCGGCAAATGAAAGTTGTCTTGCAGAAGCATGGGGTTCAAATTTACTGGCCCTGAATAAAACTCCCTGTGGCTGGAACACAATCATGGATAGATAACATAATCATGAACAGATAGTAAAATCATGCACAGATACACAATTATGAAGAGATAAAGAATTATGAAGAGATAACACAATCATGAAGAGAACACAATTATAGATTAATAAAATAACCACAAACAGTTAACACAATCCTGGAAAATTAATAAAATCATAAACATACAACACAATCAAGGATATACAGCATAATAACAATCAGATAACACAATTATGGACAGACAACATAACCACAGATAAAACAATCATGGAAAGATATCATAATTAAAAATAACACAATCGAGGATCGATAATATAAATAACAAAAAAAAAAAAGGTTAGATAACATAATCATAGATAACACAATCAGAAATAGACAACATAATCGCAAATATGTAAAGTAAATGCAATACAATGGTTATTATTTTTCAAACAACTAATAATTTATTTATCTTCTTCTTCTTCAGCATTCTGAGCACCTCACGTTCATTGCTTCAGATATCACTCATCTCTCTAGTTAGCCTTCTCTTTCCGGTTGGGAACACCAAGTGTTTCTAAGTCTGTCTGGGTATTATCTCTCTAACATCTTCGGCGTCTGCCTCGAGATCTACGACTATTCAATTCCCTTGTGTAAGGTTTTTACCTCTGTCATCCCAATATTCTCTCTATGCTCCAATATGCTCCAGCCATTTCAGTCTATTAGCCCTCATAATGCCAGTGATCCCCCAAAGGTGTCTCTAGCTTGCTGCAGTGGGGGAGCTTGTGTTTCTCAATTACCCTGAGAGCTATGCCGGCGGTAGCATAGCTACCAGCAGGGACCATCAAGGGTAGATAACAGACAAAGAGAAGCGTGGGGTTGACACCCCCACCTTTGATTTAGGATGGATTTGAACAGACAAAGGAATTGAAACGTTAATGAAATTTTGAGATTTGCAATTTATTTATAATATTGTAAATATATATAAAATGCATGGAGTGGCACAAGTAATCAACTATCTACATGAGACATGTATTTTTTTTTTTATGTTTCACTCCCTATATGGATGCTGGAGCTCCATTTTGGAGAAGAAATAACAGACCCACTGTGCCCCCCCCCCCCATCCCCACAAAAAAGCACGTTGCAAGAGGCAATTATTTAAGGGTGTTTCCGTCATTGCAGAAGTGCATCTGCCTGAAAGGCAATAAGCTAGATCTGTAAAACGGATGTGGACACAGTACTCAAGTTTTAGAACAAGATCAAAGTCCAGGAGTGGATGAAAAAACAGAACTTTCTGCCAAAGTTTAAAGCCCATGAATTCTAAGCAGTACAAAAATAAGAAGACTGTTTCACTGCCCCTCATAAGAAGAGATAACACTAAAAATTAAGAAATGACAGCAACGCCAGGACTGAAACAAGCATACAATTTACTAAAGAGTAACAGATGAGATGGTTTGGCCATTGGAGGAGAATGCCCTTTAACCAACAGTCCCAGAGAGCCAAATTCAAGAAATTTGTGAATGAACACAGAGAAGGGGAAGACCATACACAGATGGAATGACAGCACCAAGAACTCTAAAGAAATTAAGATGTATGGATAGTCTTATTTTCGTATAAAAATGGGAAGCAGACAATTTCCAGAATATTCTGGTGACTGTCTGAAAAGGAAGAAGCGACACCTCGCCTACTTGTTATGGCCAAGAATATATAAAGACCTAACATAAGATCTAACATATCACATACTAATGACAGTATCTTGCTAAGACTTTTTTTTTCTTTCTGTCAACCAATTCAGTTTTTCAGCTGGCAGCCCATGGGCCAAATCTGGCCTGCAGTCTCCTAGCAAGTGGCCCACCAATCATTGCCAGGTATATTGTATTAATTATCTTTCTATGCTGGGGCTTGGGCATCTGGCCAGTAAAGATCCCTATTTTCAAAACTGTGGCCCCTGAGTAAACTTAGTTGAATAGCCCTGTCCTACACAATGATATTAGACCAGATATCCTATTGCATTGATTTCATGAGAGGTTCTGTCGACTTGTAAAGTAATATGTTTAAAAAAAAAATGGACACTTACTGAACTGGTGGATGCACTTTCAGCCTGTTTTGGTTTAGAATGTTCCACCTTCCCTTCCAGAATGTTTGTGATAGTTGTATCAACATCTCGTGTCCGCTCTGAAGTTAAAATATAAAAATTTACATCATGAAATACCAGTAATCATACTGTGTAACACATTTGACAGTTATGTTTCATCTTGGCTATTTCAAAATAAAATTTTGGTCGAACATTCTGTGTTGAGAAGAGTAACTTGGAAACCAGATACCTGAGGAAGTTGAATGTGTAAATCAAAGGTTCATAAATTGCAGTTTTGCATTAAAAAAAAACAGATGATGAATAACTATAAGAAATCCTAGTGTGGTTTCCAGGGCACTCCCCCCCCCCCCCCCCCCCCCCCCCCAATGGTCACAAATCATCAATCAGCAAGTCCCTTACAGAACTTTTCTCTCTTCACGGCACGCCTGAAAGTATCCCTTTCCCTAGCCAGCTCTCCAGCCCCATGTGCTTTCAATGCCGATACATCTGCAATGTCTTGTATCCATCTTCGCAGTGGTCAACCCCTGCCCCGCCTTCCACAAACTGCACCTTCCATCAGTGTCTTTTATAAGCCACCGTGACGCTTGATATATATATACTTCAACTTTCGGGACAGGATGCTGTTTATGAGCTAGTTCTCCTTGATGTTCAACTCGTTTAGAATGTCGATGTTTTTTCTCTTGCTGATCCATGGCATTCTAAGAATTGTTCTATAACAATTCAATTCAAAAGCTTCAATCTTTTTCCTCAGTGACTGAGTGAGTCCAAGACTCACAACCTTAAGTTGCCACAGGAAAAATGCATGATCTTAATTAAGATTTTTACTTTAACCAATTTTCTAGTGCTTTGCCATAGGTTCTTCATGCAATTTAATCTTTGCATTGCCAATGCAAGTCTTCTTCTGACTTCTTTTGAGCAGTCGCCACTGTTGTTTACTAAAGAACCCAAGTATTCAAAATCTGTTACATTTTCTACTTCTTCATTTTCGATTGTGATATGTGGCTGGTGTGCTGTATTTACTGAGAACATAATTTTTTCAATAAAAAAAAAAAAAATTCAGAAACAGATTCACTTCTTCACTGTGTTTTTTGACAGCCAGAATTAATTTGTCAAAACCATGTACACTGTTGGAAAGGAGAACTGTGTCGTCTGCATATCTGAGTTCTGGGATAGAATTACCTCCAATTTTTAGTGGAACAAAGCTCTTGCAAGCTTCATCGCTAATTGCGTTTTTCAAACATTTTCTGCATTTATGTTAAAGAGGGAGGGTAAAAGAATGCAGCCCTATCTCACTCCTTTCAGCACTTCAAACCATTCTGATGTCTCACTAGCTACTCTGACCGCTGCTTGATGTTCGTGGTAAAGAGATTCCATTAAGTGCACCAGATGATTTGGAAATCCCATGCCTCTCATTATATGCCATAGTCAAAATGTCATAGAAGGTGACTAATTAGAGGTGTGTTCCTTCAAAGTTGGAGTGCATCAGCATGCGAGCTGTAGGACCAAGAACCCATACACAAAAAAGCCAAATCTGTAAAATGGACGTGCATATAAAACTCAAGTTCTGGAACAAGACCAAAGTCCAGAAATGGACGAACAACCAGAACTTTCCACTGCAGTTTACAGCCTGTGAGAACTAAGAAGGAAAAGACAATAAGACTCACTTAATTCTGAAATAATGCACTCTGCTGGAGTTTCAGGAAGAACCTCTTTCACTTGTCGCAGCATCTGATCTATTTCAGCATCAGATGTGTCTACTTTCACCTGAGCTTGAATCTGAACATCCGGAGAAGTCTGGGTCTCTAATCTTTCTCTGTGCTTACCTGATGAACATACAATGTACACATCTTGAACCTAATTAAATATGTACAATATACAAAACAAACTAATGTCTAGCCCACAAAAAGATATTCTTATAGAAAACTTTGCCATTAGGATGTAATGTGTGTTAACTAATAGCCAACTAATAGTGTGTGTGTGTATTTGCGCGCATGACTGAGGGGAAAAATAAGAGAAAGAGAGATTAGTATAATCTCAATTAATCAAGTGCCTTGACAACTGTTATGCATTATCATGCTTCTCAGCATCTTGCAATCTCCAACAGCAAGTTGTGTGTACGGGCAACTTTCTGTACCATAATAAAGGGTCATAAAGAATATTCCCTCTCTTGTTTCCTCTACCTCTTTCCAGAAATCTTTGCACATGTCCCCCCCCCCCCCCCACCAAATAAAAGACTGCCATTTTCTGATATTTATGATACATTGTTACTATTCGGATCATACTAATTTATCGTACCTTGTATGACATTCGATTTTTTCTTCAGATATTCCGTCACGTCATGATGATCATAACAAGACATGGTCAGTCCCAAACTTTTAGCCATGTTAGTCTGAAATCGGTGTTCAAATTCTTCTCTTGTCTCATCTCTCTTTCTCTCTGTTACAGGTAAATACCTGTAAACACAATGTGAAACATTTGTAAATTAAAATCCAAAATGTGCAGTGCACAGCCATACAGAATACACTCCTAATTTCACAAATGGCAAGGCTGGTGAACAGAATATGAAGGAAACCAAGCAGAAGTGTAAAATATGTATCACTTAAGCTTATAGAAAGAGGTCCAGTTCATGTTTCTTGGCCCATCTACACCCTACCTGACCTTTCATTCATTCTTTTTCAGACTGTTCTACGTCAGAGGAGTGTCACATTGTTTTGTCTCTAATTACATCAGAGTAGATGTCGCATGTTCTATACTACACAGCGACACAGCTTTCAATGACACTAGAACATCTAGAACTGGCCCTAACTCCAAATTTAGCCCTTCAAGGCACTCATCGTTCACACAGCAATTGTATTTTATCTGTAAAGCATGTTATGTTCAAATAACAACATATTTATATATATATATAAAGTAGAATATACAAAAAAGCCTGGGTAGTATATTTGCACACACACATATGATACATGCATTCACACACTCAAACATACCGGCATACACACACTCATATATACCACTGCAGAAACTATCACACACACATACCCAAATGCATGCCAACACATAGACTCACATATTCCCATACACACACACTCTTTCTGTCTATTATCTAACAATGTAGCATCAGAATTGCAATTACAAATGCCACCAAAGAGCAAGAGTGTTGCACAACCTTTATAGGTAGTTGCAAACCAACCCAGCATTCATTGGTTGTTTGTGGTTTGGCTAGGCAATTTTACAGTAAAAGAAACATTGAAACTTACTTTATCTTAAACAAAGTAATTGGCAGTATTAGACACCACATCAAGTCTTCATAAGCCGAACTTGAGTATGTTGACTGTATAGAAACCAAACTCCGTTAGTGCAAAAATGTATCAAACACATGAATTTTTCTGTATTATTTATACTAATAATCAGACTACATATCATATATATATATATCATATCTGCAAAACACTCAAAGACAATTATGACCTCATGTGCTTATAACATACCCATACTGCAATGTCTTCCTTTGGTAAAGTTTAATGTTTTACAGAACAACTAGACATGCACTTTAATCTGAATATTATTACAGTAAAACTTTGATTAACTGTTACTATCCGGGCCGGGGCTGTGACAGATAACCAAACGGATGGATAACAGAAATTTCTCAATACATTATATACAGTAACATGATTTCACTGCGGGGGTGGGATGCTGAATTAAGCATCTAAATCACGGTACTTGGGACACTCCCATAAATGCTCCATTCCCCATCTTGAGCAACAAGCGAACAGTTCCAATTCTGACAACACCAGTAACTGTCTGACTGCATATCTGTCTCGCCTTTCCTTTGTGCCTTAGCCAGATTTCCTGGTAACTCCTCGCAGCGCCATTCTCCTCAGACGTAACGATCTATTTATGTCTGCCCAGGACCTTTGAAGCGATACTTGTCACTCGGCACGAAGCATGCCTATCTCCACCTTTCTCAACATGCTCTGTGAGTCAGTTACAATTACAACATATATGTACAGCTGATTCTCAAACCAGCGAAAAGCAGCAGTGACTGCCTTCACATCCATTCTCAAACTAGACGTTGTGACATATGCTTTGCTGCACTAAGCGACATCCATTTGCTTTTGCTATGAACCAAAATGTACTTTGTCTGCCTCTCGACACAGAGCCATCTGTACGAATCAGTGGTCGGCAAATCACAGCTTGTAAGCCGCATGTGATTAGGTAGCTGTATACCCAATCTTGGCGTACTGAAGCTCTGGTTGAAGTGAAAAGCCATCTCCCTCAAGTCTTCATCACTCATGCTCTTCATGTAAGCATACTTGACTCCGCCTGGCCCTGGCGAAGTTTCTTTTGCTTTTTGCAATATATATATTATATTCTCCACCCTAATGAAATCCTGAAAATAATTCTCATTTATAGTATTAGACAGATTATCTGTAACTAAATTTCTAAGTTCCCTATCATTATGATCAGTTTGGGCTACAAATCTCTCCAAAAAATGCTTCCCCATTCACTTCGTCTGTTGTCATTAGCATACCATTATCAGTGTATAAAATGCCTGTTGTGATAGGCCAATCTTTCCTTTGCGTCTGTCTGTGAAGTTTCCAAAACCTACCCAGTGATTTAACCTCAAGGAGTCGTCACGTCCTACATACAAGAGTCGGCTGGCGCCTGAGGTGGGGTAGAGAGTAACTCTATATGCCCATCACAACGGCCTTAACACTCTCTCACACCTGTGATCAATATAATCGTGCCACACATTACATTATTTAAAAAAAAATATTCTGTCAACAGTAAAAAAAAATCAAATAAACATATATCTGGGGTGACAAACAGCAATCAGCATAAAATGACATTTAAAAACTGATATGTACATTAGGAAAATGAGTCTTACCACAGCAAAGTCAAAGAAGAATCTGTTTGTCTGAATTGTGATCTGAAATATATGGAGATTATAAGTAAGTACTCAATTTCATTAATTACACAACAAAATAGCAAACAAACTAAGGGAAGAACTGGTCTAGGAGGAACCCGTGACTCAGTTACAATTTAGACTGTTGGCAATCCCCACCTCCCTGATGTGATAGATAAATCTACCACCGCTCCCACTTTAATTATGATTATTTGTAGTCATCATGTTATTATTTTTTTTTTTTAATAAATGCTTGGGAGATCCGGTGCCAAAACTGCTAGAAACTTAATATTTACACTTTAAAAAAGATATTTAAAAAAAAAAGTCATGGAGGTGTTGAACGCAGGAACTTTCGACTGTGAGGCAGACGTGATACTCACTACAAAAAAGTTCCATATGATAGCTGAAAGTAAGACTCGTATTGTGTAATGTTATTGACAGACACATGCATGTCTGCTGCACAGTATAGAAGAAAATTAATTTTAATCATGAAGTCAGAAGGTGACCCGACTCTATCCTCTTGTTGATCATTGGAGGATCCATTTCAAATCCAGCTGATGTTGATGTGATGGCTAGGTTAGATAGGCTTGCTCACAGACAGAAGTATGCATGTCCACCATGGCGTGTTATGAAGATAACCCAACTCATAATTCACACATTTCAAAGTGATCCTTACTATTACTCCATTAATTCTTTATTAACTGTAATTAACCAGTTTTCTTGCCATTTTGTATTTATTTTTTATGTAGACTAATGCAAAACCAGAAACATATTTTTGGGCAAAATGACATAGTTTACCGACCATTCCTCTATGGTAAACAAAAGCAACAGAATAACAAGGAACGCATCTAAATACCTCTAAACGCACGTGATAGGGTTTTTAATCATATGCAAATCGGTTAATTAAGACTGACTTTGGGTAATGTGTATTGCCATTTTACCACCAATAACTAAGGACCTTAGCAGTCTGTACGGAAAATCAAAATCGTGTTTTTACGTCCATCCATAGTAGTGGGGCACAGTAGTGGATGTGCACACAAGTTCTGAAATAAGACTAAAGTCCAGACGTGGACGAGCAACCAGAACTTTCCACCAGAGTTTACAGCCTGTGAAAGCCAAGAAGAAGAAAACATGTGGGCATGTTCCAAGTGCTGTGATATTTAGTGCTGATAAACATAGTAAAACATTATTAGAATAATCATGCCAACTGTTTATACAGCCTGCATGTACCACTTGTTACTGCGGTATGTATGGAGAGGAGGAGGGGGGGGGGTGTGTCTTCAGCATGAGGGTTTGTATGGCTGCATGGCCGATGCAGCTGTTTCAGACTGTGCAAGTTAGGATTTTAATTTCTCTACCGTATCAAGGATTTGAACCTGAGTCTCTCAAAATCCCCATGTGGGGAAAACAAGAATAGATCCACAGCCTTCCCAACAAGCATGTCGTAAGAGTCTACTAATTGTGTGCTGCTTCCAGTCAGAGTGCATTGTGTCCTGAGAGGCAAGGAACCAACAATCTGCATACACATATGTCAGATCTATAAAATGGATGTGCACCCAACACTTAGATTAAAGAACAAGACTACAGTCTAGAGGTGGACAAACAACCAGAACTTTCTACCAGAGTTTACAGACCATGGACGAGCTGAAAAAGAGTCTCTCAAAAGAGTGCCCAGTGTTCATAACTGCCAATCCAGCCGATCTTCAATCAAGACAACATTGGTATTCATTGTCCTGAGAGTCAATACCAAACAAGTCATTAAACGTATATTAGTTACTCCATACCTTACATATTTCATTGATGAAAATAGTAAACATGATGATAATAATAATGATATGAGTTTAACACCACAGACCCAATGCATCACAGATGTAAGAAAAGGGTCTTTTTAATAAATCAGTATTATGACTTAGAACTTACTGGCTGTATTGGGCAGTCCAACTCAAATGGCAAATGACTGTGAAGTAAAATAATCACAGTTAAACAAGATGGATTTGAACTATTTAGTGATATTGTGATTGAGTAAAACATATCTATAAAAAAAAGTTTTACAAAAGGTATGACAGAAGGCTGTGAAAATTTAATGACAACCAACCCCACATAGCTTGGTATATAAAAACAAAAGATAATTTTCAGTTCGAATTTTCATTGTTTGCTTTTAACATTATCCCCTGGCTTCTAATGATATTACATCTTTATTTCTTGGGTAGTAAGATCACATACTTAAGTCTCCTTGGATATGGGGGAAGGAAAAAAAAAATTTAATGCTGTAGGTGTAAGAAATCCCAAGGGATTTGAAAACTGTCACTAGTAGGCTGTATGGTCACTACACTGTAAAAATTACGAACAACTCAAAAAAGAAAAGCCTTAACAGGTAAAGGCAGTTCCCATAGCATATACTGGTACTGAAGCATGAAGTTCTAGAACAGGGCTATTCAACTGGCGGCCCGCAAGCTAATCCTGGCCCTCAGAATTCTAGCTAGTGGCCCGCGGATTATCTACCAACTGTATTGTATTAATGATCTTTGTATGCTCTGGCCCGTGACGATCCTCACTTTCCAGCACTTTGGCTCCTAAATAAATTTAGTGATTGCCCTGTTGAAATATAAGGTCAGGTGTCCAGTTCTATTTTTCATCACATTTTACTTCCTTAGAACTTCCAAAAAATTGTTTGGTACATATTTTAATTAGACAGGAGTCGATGACAAAATCATAATGATTGCCTAAAAAAATAACAGCTTTTGTGTCTGCTGGGAATCAACCTGGGACCACTGAGAAATGCTTGGTGAGCTGGGCATACTGACACCTGAGTTAGAGAAGGGGATAACTAGACATGACTCAACCTCCACTCCAACTGAAGAGGACCAAAGATGTTTTTGTAGAGAATAATATGGTATAAATACACTTCTTACCTAAACTTTAACAAACTTGTTTTGTCATTGTTTTTGTTGCTCTTTTTATCATTATACCCTGGTTTCTAATGATATCACACTCCACCTTTATTTCTTGGGTAGTGAGATCATATACTAAAGTTTCCTTGGATATGGGGCAGAGGGGGAGGGAACTGAATGCTGTGGATGTTTTTGTAAAGAATAATATGGTATAAACGGACTTCTTACCTAAACTTTAACAAACTCGCTTTGCCATTGGTTTTTGATTTCTCTGGGAAGAACAGGAGAGTTTCTTCACTTCCTGGAGATCAAATACAATTCATAATTTTCATTTGTTTAAAATTTACTGAAGTAATTTATTTAAGAATATCTTGTTTCTTAAATTTACTGTTTAAAAAAAGAACAGGAATATGGTTATCTGATGTCACGATTTTATTGTATTATATATCATTTTTAAATGTCAAAATTATGACAATTATATTTATTTCAGGGGCTGTGCATTTCTTTTAAACTTTTTAAACTTATTTGAATCATAATACTCCCTGTCAATCTATTTGGTAACTTTCATAATAAGCATACTTCAACTATCGTTAGGAAATAGGTCGTTATGTTGACTGATCCACAGCAGCTGATTCAATGGTGTGGTGGCAAAAATATTTTTTTTTAAATTGTTTTTGCTTCATAACTGGAATCACAGAAAGCAAAGGATGTTCCACCTGGGGACTTAATGTAAACAACAATACCAGCAAAGAGAGTACCCATAAATTCTCAATGATTTGCACATTTATGCCTGGACTGTCAGTGCTGGGTAGCCACTTACAATGTCCAAGAAACACGTATTTATTACTGTGGAAAGTAAAATCCTTTCGACAAGCCATCTGACAAATTCAAGACATGCAGTGGACTAAACACTTCTCTGACCTCTTGAACAGACCTGATCCTGAAAATCCCCCAGATATTCAACCAGCCTCTCAGGACATTGACATTATTACTGAACCACCAAGCAAACAAGAAATCCTTAAAGCTATCCACACTTTGAAGAACAACAAAACACCAGGCAAAGACGAACTGCCAGCAGAACTTCTCAAAGTAGATCCCAACACAACTGCTAGCATTCTAGAACCATTGTTCAAGGATATTTGGGAAAAAGAAGTGTTGCCTGATGACTGGACCGATGGAACAATAGTCCAAATCCCCAAAAAAGGAGACTTAACAGACTGCAATAATTGGAGGGGAATTACTCTGCTCTCAGTACCAAGCAAAATATTTTGTAAAATCATCATAATGAGGCTTGAAAAAAGAGTAGATAAATGCCTACGAGTAGAACAAGCAGGATTCAGAAAGGGCAGAGGAACAACTGAACACATCTTCGCCACACGCAACATCTTAGAACAATGCAATGAATGGCAGAGAAGTATATATATTAATTTTGTGGACATTGAGAAAGCTTTTGACAGCATACATGGAGAAAGTCTATGAAAAATTTTACAACATTATGGAATTCCAGAAAAAATAGTCAACATAATTGCTCTCTTCTATAAAGACTTTCCCTGCAGTATAAAAAATTACAATACATCTTTCCCAGTAAAGACAGGTGTAAGACGTGTTATGGATGTGTTATGTCATCTCTCCTCTTCAACCTTGTGATTGATTGGATACTAAAGAACACAGTAGACAGAACATTGAGAGGCATACGATGGACTCCATTCACCATGCTTTGAGGACCTCGATTTTGCAAATCATATAGCACTCCTATAACATAAACATGAACATATACAAGAAAAAAGTAACAGACTACACAGCACAGCAGAAATGGTGGGACTGAGAATAAATAAAAAGAAAACTAAGATCATGACAAGCAGTCCAAACCAACAACCAGTGACCATAAGTAACCAAACTCTTGAAAATGTAGAACATTTCACATATCTTGGCAGTGTGGTGTCCCTGCCGGGAGGGACCGAAGAGGACATACAGTCACGTCTGAGCAAAGCTAGCTGCTTTTGGAAGGGTGAGGCAAATCTGGAAATCCTACAATTACTGCAGAGGAACGAAACTCAGACTCTACAAGAACATCATTTTGCCAGTTCTTCTTTTTGGAGCGGAATGCTGGAGAATGACCAAAAAGGATGCACACAAGCTGTCTACCTTCCACCACACACGACTACGTAGATTTTATCAAAATTTTCTGGCCAGATATAATCTCAAAAACTAAACTACTTTAAGTCACAAACAAAGAAACTTTAGACAATATGATAACCAAGAGAAGATAGAAATGGCTTGGCCTCGTTATGAGAATAAATCCTGATATACCTGCCAAAACAGCTCTCACATGGACACCAGAGGGAAAGAGAAAACGGGTGCCCAAAAACAACATGGAGAAGAACGATGGAAAGTGACCTGACATGGAAAACTGCACAGGACAGGAAAGCATGGAAAGTCCTCTCTGAAGCCTCATGTGCCACTAGGCACAACGAGAACTGATGATGATGATCTGACAAATTCAGACATCTGTTTGCTTGAAATTCTTAACATGCCACCATCAGTCAATTATGTGCTGCTCCACAATGCAGATTAGCTGCAACGGATCTCCAACATAGTCTCTGTCTCTTGTCTTCAGACTGCAGTTCATCCATCCCTTGATGTTTTTCTGCCACTTGTATCGTTGTCTAACTCTTGCTCTTGACTTTTCCTTGCAGTATGGTTTTTTTTTAAAGAGTGTTACGTCATTTAGTGTCGCTAAAATTTTTCAACTGTCTCATTTTTCCTTTCTTTCAGCAACTCTCTATAACCTCAGTGTCTGTATTTGGTTCCATAAAACATGACACATTCTTCAAACAAAACCTACTTTTTTCAATAATATGCCTATATAATTTTATTTAGCTATATAGTTTTGCTCTGAGACAGACTGGGAAGTCTTTGTTAGCATCCTTTCCCACTTAGTCCAATATCCATGACTCTCGTTGCTGGTGAGTGCTGCTGTAAAATAAGATGAAGATCCAGTATCTTGGTAAGGATATTCATTTCAGTTTCCAGTCTAAATACACAGAGGCTGTGAGCAGTGCTCTGTTGATCTCAGCTTCTGAAAAGATGGGATACTTATCATCATCATCATGTTATTCTGTTTGTCAGTCAGGGCCTGCAGCTGATTCCTCCCTTCCATTCTAACCTGTCCAATCTTTTCGGCATCTTATATAGAATCCAGTCAAACTTCTTTCAGCCACTTTCAAAAATGTTTGTCGCAGGGTTTACCTTGGACAGTCTCACTTCTTCAATGCATTTGTTTTCTATTTCAGTGCCTGTTTTGACGCCTGCTTGACAGCAGGATGCGCCCACTATATTGCCATCTTCTTTTTCTTTAACTGATAATACCTGTGGTACAGCTCTTTCTTGAATTAAAACCAATTTTTCTTGTTGTTATAAAACTTGCATCAGTCCCGTTTCATATTCCTCAACTCCTTCAAGCAGTTTTTAAATGCATTTAACTTTTGCTCTGTGTCGTTAATGGTTCTTCAACTTTTACTGACATATGTTAAAACTGATTTAATGTTGGAACTAAAAATATGTAACTTTGTTTTTAAACTATAATTTGGAGCTCCATATTTCATTAAGGCTTTTAAAAGCTGATATCATGCTAGTGTGAATCATATTTTTTTGTAACCTAAATATGTAAACTGATTTACTACTTTTATTCTATTTGCTTCCAGTGTGACAAGTGCACCTCTACCTGATGTCTTCAGTATATTTGTCTGTTCATAACTGATTTCATGACTGAACTAAACAAGCTAAATACAAATATTCTACATGTTACTTGTATTGTCTCATTTATGTGCAGATTACAATTGTCTGATTATACAATTATAAATTATGCTTTCAAACATTAGTTTTAGGAAAATTAAATTAAAAATGAATACAAAGGTGCATGCAAAAAAAAAAATTTCCATATTAAAATGATACAGAATACTGAATGCACAATAGTCATTAGTATTTTATAACATTTTAACATGAAAGTGACAGGAATTAGAAATTAAAAGCAATGGATTTGTATCGCAGAAAAACATTTTAAAAATTTTGTATATAACCCACATTTAAATTCTCCCCATTATGCACATCCTACCTTGAACTTGATACTGAAAGATAGAACAGGAAAACTCAAAAGAGAAAAAGACGGAGCCGGAATTATAAGAATTCAGGTTATCATCAAGTAAGATTTTACCTGTCACTTTCTCTTTAATCATGGAAATTATATCCTGTCGATTTCTGTCAGCAGGTATCTCAAATGTCCTGCAAGGTTCAAGCAAACTCTTCGAATAGCCTGCACTCTCCAAAACCTAAATATTTCCGATTGATAAAGTATACAAATAATGTTGTAAACAAAAGAAACATTACATTCCAAAATCAAGATATATTACTAAATTTCAGTGTCAGGAAAGCATAATGACAATCTTGTGTCAATCCTTAAGGTATCTTTTACTGTTTGGTTTACCAACATCATGACCTAAATTTCTGCAACCAGCCCACCCACACTGATCCACAGCAGATTACTTGTAACTATATGGTGTCAAAATGTAACTTTCATATGGTGTCCCAATGTAACTTTCATATGGTGTCCCAATGTAACTTTAATATAGTGCCCCAGTACTCCAATATAACTTTAATTTGGTGCCCCAATTCAACTTTCAAATGGTGTCCCAATGTAACTTTCATATGGTGATCCAGTATAACTTTAATATGGTGCCCTAGTAAAACTTTAATATGGTGCCCCAGTGTAACTTTAATATGGTGCCCCCGTATAACTTTAATATGGTGCCCCAGTATAACTTTAATATGATAACCCAATGTAACTTTCAGATGGTGCCCCAATGTAACTTTCATATGGTGCCCCAATGTAACTTTCATAAGGTGTCCCAATGTAACTTTAATATGGTGTCCCAATGCAACTTTAATATGATACCCTAATGTAACTTTCAGGTGGTGCCCCAATGTAACTTTCATATGGTGACCCAGTAAAACTTTAATATGGTGCCCCAATGTAACTTTAATATGGTGCCCCAATGCAACTTTCATATGGTGACCTAATGTAACATTCAGGTGGTGCCCCAATGTAACTTTCATATGGTGACCCAGTAAAACTTTAATATGGTGCCCCAATGTAACTTTCACATGGTGCCCAAATGTAATTTTCAGACGGTGTCCCAATGTAACCTTCACACAGTAACTTAATGTATCTTTCATATGGCCGAATACAGTTTCTAGAATTAACTCCTGCTGGATCCACATGCCTGGACTGTCAGTGCTACGTAGCCATGTCCAAGAAACACGTCTTTATTACTGTGGAAGGTAAAATCCTGTTGACAAGCCATGTGACCAATTCAGACATCTGTTTGCTTCAAATTCTTAACATGAAGTGGCTCTGAGTCATCACTAGGTGGCCATCTTTATGACTGCAATTCCGAAGAAGAAAGATTTTTTCAATACAATTTTTCTACCTTTCATCTCCCAGTGGAGAAAAGCCTCTCAACTCAGACCATTTCCATGGTCGGTTGGAATTTGCAGCTTCTTCTTAGCATTCATCTGCCGTGAACTCCGACAGCAAGTTCTGGTTGTTTGCCCACTCCAGGACTTTGATCTTTATCCCCAAAAAATAGAGTTTTGCGTGCACATTTGTTTCAAAGACATGGCTTATTTATATGCAGACTGCTGGTTCCTTGCCTCTCAAGCAGATACACTCTCACTTTGATGGATACACCCGCTAATTTCTTATCTGTTATGCCATGCTTGTTGGAAGAAGGGGTGGCGGGTCTATACTTTTTTTTCCTAAATGAAGTCAGGGAACCCCAACGGTGAGAATTTGCAACTAAAGTGTTTTAATGGAAAAGGCAGTCAGTTTCAAAACAACTCTCCTTCGGAGCCTTCTATGACAAGCATAGTAGGTTACAGTGTTACTACTCTTTGCTTCCTTTACGAGCCTCAGTAATACAAGGGCAATGACTATCTACAAGGACAATATATATTCATATTTTACAAATGATCTACAAAATAAATGCAACCAATCATTTAGGATGTTTAGTACTTACAAGAATGTCTGGATGAAGGAAATCAAGAATAAAGGGATCTAAACTGGTGACATGATTGGAAACTAAGATTTTCTTCTTGACATCTGTGCTAAGTGCTCCGTGAACAGCAATCGGAAGACCAGTTACAGACAGCATGGCTCTCAGAATTACTCTGTGAACACAAATATAAGTTTGTTAAGACATAAATCTCACAGTAAAACGTTTCCAACTGCTCATTATATCATCATCATCATTCCGTAACACTACGTGTCGTTGGGTCACCAGTTTCTGTTGACTGTCTGATCAGCTCTCTCCACCTTTGGCGGTCAGTTGCAATGGACTTCATGGTTGCATGCCTGAGGCCTGTCCAGACTCAGATTCTGTAACCAGGTCTTTCTTGGTCTGCCTCTTCTCCTCTACTGAGCCCTGCAGTATTGTTTTTGAGAGGCCGTTATATCTTATTACATGTCCACTCATTATACTTGTGATAAATGTATAAAGTGTGATAAACTCAGTTTTCTCTATACCTTTGTCCCCCACGTTCAGAATCTGGACAAAACAGACTTTGTGGCCATCTGTACAAGCAATTCCAGATTCAGAACTTTGTCTATGTGGACAGGCTCCATAGAATACTGAACATGTGCTGCAGACATGCTCTCTACATGCAGTAAGAGGATCCCAGGTCTGGCCTGTTGGCTTCCAGTGGAAACCAAGCTGTCTGGACCACTGGAGGACACGCATCACACCATTAACTTCAGAGACTTATGGCCTTCTCATATGAAAACCACTGGCAGGAAGAATGCACACAAACAAAAGGAGGAAGTCCAGTGAAATGTAACTAAAAGGCTTAACGAAACAGGGAAGAAGGAAAAACTTGCACAAAATGTCTTTTTGACCGGTGGCCTTTCTCAAACAAGGAATGAACTACATGAATTGCTTCCCGGTTTCATTAAGCTTTTTAGTCATATTTCACTAGAATTCCTTGGTATTAGCTTGACTGCAGTCACTCCCATACTTCAACACAAAAGAAGACAGAGGAGAAGCCTCCTTCCCTGAGTTGTCACTGATAGGATATATCAATTCACTGTGCTTCTCTGGAAGTTTGATTCAAAAGCTAGCAATACACATACTACATAAAGTATTTTGCCAGCCCAAATGCAAACTGGCTAAACAGCATTTTTTCTAAAATGGTAAACAACTGCTGTGGTAACAAACAAAAGGCATTCCACAAGAAATAAACAGTCATGTTGCTGTTCCAAGCACTTTACTCAGCAACTTCACCCTTTTGCCCTGAGAAGCCTAAAAAAATGACACTTCCTGACCAGCTGAGTCCAGTTCCCCAGAAATGTTGCTTTTTTTACTTGCCCATCAGGATCTGTTTACAAAATGTACAACTAATGCAACTGGCTGAGTTCGCACCTACGCAAAAATTTAGGAGGTTAGGATATGAATAAATTAACATTTAGAAAGGTTTTCCTTTGTGCTAAACAGCTTTTTTAAAATCAAGATGACATCAGATTTTCTAATAAGAAAAGACCACGGCATGAGTTACCCGATGCATGTGTGTTTTTTACAAGGTGGATGTATTGCATTTAACACTTCACTCTGTTCATATTTATTAATTACTACCTTCATATATTAAAAAGATTGTTTTAAAATGTCAATAAATATGTTTAAAAAAAATTTATTAGTGACCTGTGTAAAAATTGTTGTTTCAGATTTTTTTAAAGGAACCCTTAAAGGATCATGACCTATTTTTTTCTCCTTCTAATGGTTTTATCAACATTTTATATATTTTGATCTTGGTGTTGTGAGATAGAGACTTTGCCTTTAGCAGATGTTGAAGGGCATAGTATTGTTTCCTCATTCTAAATTTAGATTATGAGAGCACAAACAATACTTTAAACATTCCTCATTCTCTCCATTGGACTGCCTGTGACTTTTTTATTTCTGGAGGGAAGAAAATATTAATCTCTTTGCTTCCTTATATTTTGTAAATTCTGTAGTAGGTATATGACAAGAAAAAGCAAAATCAGTCAGGCAATAAACTGTGCAAAGAATGGTTTGTATCTTCACAATTGAAAAAGAAATGTACTTACTTCTAACTCCATTAAATTTTACATTTTAACCATACATGTACTTTACCTTTTCAAGGGGAAGCTACTTGGTAAGATATATGATAACAGGCAGATGTGTATAAAAATACAAAGCCGAATTAAGCCCAGCAAAAGTCCAATCGGAAGGTAAAGTAAAACAGGAAATAATGCTGCATAGTTGGTATATCTGAAGAGAAAAGAAACAAAAATGAATCAGTAATATATCTTAAAGCAATGTTTCCTAGCTGTGATTTTTTTTTTTTACAAACATCACATGCGATAATAGCTGGAGCTACAGAGTTAGTGCTTCGTGTGATGATCTTATCAGTATTTTGTCATTCTGCCAAAGAAGCCGAGTCATATAGGAAAAAACTTCGTGCAGTAAAATCAAGCCTCTTGACTTCAAACCTTTTCATCATATGAGATAAACATATACCTTTGGTAGTTTGATGGCCATCATCATCATGCAGCAGGTCCTCCGTAAAATATTATTTCCATAACAGACTGATGGGAAAGACTTGGTTTCATGCATATTTCCATGCATTGTCTATTCTCAAAACCACATGTTTCCAATGCCCTGTGTCCACATAATGCTACTCAATGGCTGTGTCTTGTTGAAAAAGCCATGCCTTACATTACAGTTCTTTCCAAACCACTGAGGTTTTTAACTCTGTCAATCTCAAGCCATTGATGTTTACTTTAAATGCTTTTATTGCAAAAATGCGAGCTGCAGTGAAAGGAGTGGCTGACTGAGCGGTTACCCTGGGTTCTCATGCGGGAAACCCAAGTTCGACCCCCAGTAATATAATGGAGTTTTTCTTTCAGGGGAAAAATTAAACATCCTAACCAGTATGGTCCATGGTGACAACACTAGCCATGTGGCCCTAAATCCTCAGACTCACGAGTTCCTGTCCACACCGCCCTAAAAAGTGGTACATAATTAGACAGTAGTGGCAGTTTCCAGAGGCAGAAAAACAACACATTCTAATATATGACAGAGTTTCAAAGAGGCACTGTATGTCAGACGTGGTTTACCTATTATTATTCCACATACAAAGGGTTAATATAGTGAATGTCTGTGACAGAAGTCAGCACTAACATTATTTCATCTTTGGAATGACAAAGCTATCTACAGTGTGTTGTTTGGTACTGAAAGAGTTAATATGGCAAAAGCATATAAATTTTAAAAGAAAATCCTGTTTATTAAACCCCAGAGTCAAAGGAATAAAGGCTGCTCTAAAGATGCATGAAGAAGTGAATTAGAGTGGAGTGAAAAGATGGAGAGGACACAGAGTGAGCTACTCTACACACAACAGCAAAAGATAGGATGACTCAGTGAGTGCTGGTTGAAGTGAATAAGTGGTCACATCAGAGTCATAATCTGTCATTAGACATTTTTATTTTTAAATTTGTTAATCCCTTGTAGTTTTAGTTTTAGTAGTAGAGTTCAAGCAATATTAACTAGCCGTTAAAAATTCATACATCCGCTTTCAGTCAAAGTAAAGACTTGGGCTAACCTCCAAATGACGGTACCAAATTATAGAGATCGAAAATATACCCTAACAGGGCCTCAGACACATGTAAATTGCGGACCACTTCCGGCGACTATACAACATACCGTGAAAAAGCTACAGCTGAGTTAAAGTCACTGCCAAGAGTATCGCCCATGGCGCAGAGCGGGGCTAAACTAAATGGCTGGGACTCACGAGCAACAGCAACCTCATCTCATGTAACTTCCTCCATTTTATTTGCTGGTGAGTCCCATCTAGTTTAGCCCCGCTCCGCGCCTCATGGGAGATACTCTCGGCGGTATGCTGTACAGTCACCTGAAGTGGTCCGCAATTTACAGTAACTGAAGCCCTGTTATGGTATATTTTCGGTCTCAATAATTTGGGAACGTTATTCGGAGGATAGCCAAGACTTGAATGGGGTTCTGTTTGTATACAAACTGCAAGATCTATTCTATATAATATATGACTCTAATTCTTCAATTCTATAGACTGTCTTTCGTCGCTTTTGAGCAAGGGTCTGTAAATGCAATCTGACCATTCTTTACAATGGCAAACTACTGGACATAACTAAAATTTACCAGTAAAAGTAAAACCAAAACCGTCAACAAATGCTGGGGTTTGTTCTGCAATGTCCTGTAAAGGATACACAACACTAACTATACGCAGGTTTCCTACACTGTTATTTGAATTTCCGCTGGTGAACAAACGTCAAGGGCTGGAAGTTGCATCAGATGATCAGATTACATGTCAAACAAAAGTAGTTTTTAATACTAAAGAAGTCACAATATAATAGAACTTAATCTGAATTATATTATAAATAAAATTTAAAAAGTTCAGTCACAATGATTAAAAATTATTTGACAGTTCGTGAGACGCTCGAAGGTGGAAAAAAAAAATAAACAAAGGAGAGAATGAAATTCAGAAGAAATTAAATGAAATGATAATTTAAAGAAATAAGGCAGGCAAACATAAATGAAGCAATTAATAATGTAAAGAGAAATATGATGTTTTTACCGAGCTAAAGAGATGATTCTCTCTATCTCTGTATCAGCCATCTCACTCAGTTTATGTGAATCATTCACTTATTGTTCAAGATTGATAAAATGGAATGGACGCAGACATATTGCTAAGCACATGAAAAACAGAGATTCGTGATACACCGAAACGATATTTTAGTATGCAGCCTGGGATGCTTTTTTTTTTTTTTTACATTTAAGGTCTTATTTGTCTGCAACCATTCTTAAGGAATCAAAAGAAATAAACACTCATTCCCATGTAATTTATGTGTTTGTTATATACACAAACTGTATCAAAATAAAACCTACACTCGTGGATTAACGAATGCCTTACACGTATGACTATTAGTACGTCCACAAATGATTTTTATGAACATGTATGACACTTGGTTCACTTTGAACAATCACACAGTGAACACAATAACACACTCTGTGTATATGAATAATGAAACGATAGCAAGGACTGAACTTTTAAAATAAATAGGAGTAAGTTTTGATCGAAGCCTAGCTGCAGATTCCAAGTTGATACTATGATCAACAAGGCCAGAAAGTTTTTGTCCTGCAATGAGAGTTATGGCTGCCACCTGAGGTCAACAAAGGCTGTTGGTCATCCTCTGTCAGAGTTTGATCCTCGATGTCATAGAGTATGCCCAGGCAATCATCACCCTCAGCTAGACACAGATCAACAGACTGGAACAAGTAGAAAATGAAGCAATGCGCATCATACTTGGCAACACCAAAGACACATCACGTAGAGCAATGACATAGAGCAGAGAATGCTTTTCACACTATATCAGCACATGATCCTGTCAGTGGTTGATTATGGCCTGGTACTGCTTACCGTCTCAAAGAGTCAGATGGACAAACTAGAGCGCATACAGAACGCAGCTACGCGGGTCATTCTGGGTTGCATTAGAGACACCACAGTGGTGTATATGCGATTCATCCTTGGTTTGCCAACTTTTGCAGGTAGACACAAGACTGAAGTCATATCTCAGGGTAGCTGCAGACACAGACCACCCTTTACACGAAGCTCTGGGTGCAGTTAAGGGTCAGCGGCTGATAGGAGGAAAGTCATGGATGGCTCAGGCAGAAGACACACAGACACAATCAGACAGGTTTGCATCCTTGAGAACATTAGGCGAGGAGAGGAGTGGGTTGAAGTGCCACCTGAACAGTCAGACTTGTGTAGGGTCACAATCACACTGAGCCGAGAATGCAGAGACTAGCCAGCAGGTGCCACATAGGTGGACATTCAGCAGTTAATTCAAGATAATGCTCGCTCAGAAGATTTGATTTGATTTTATTCAAGAACCGACATCACAGCACTTGGAAATTTCTCATGAGCGCTCCGTCCCATATTCAGCAGCCAGTGAAGAGTTTTGATACTAATGGTGCCAGTAGCATTCTGATCAAACGTCCGTCTTGCCTTTCCTCTGAGCCTCGAGCATCTTCCAAAACCTCTCATCACTCCCTCCTGCATCAATCTCACCAGACTGTGGTTATCCATCTGCTCCTCCGAACTGTACACGCTCTTCCACAAGGCACTAACCACCTCTGCCTTATCATGTATCAGTATTCCACAAAGTTGTGCAGAGCCAGCCAGCCAGTCTGTCCGGCTGTTCATTTCCCTTCTCCACCTGAGTATGTGTAAGAAGACTTACATCGGCGTATGGGTCGCCCATTGGATAACCAATAGACGGCTTCGTCTCCGGTCGGGACAGTATTTGGGTCTGTCTCCTTTCATCGTACAAGCACTGCAGGAGTCCTTTTCAGGGCTCTTTGTAGCGTGCAATTCTAAGCCATTTTATAAGGCGCACATAGCCTAGGCACAATTAAAACCTAATGTTGAATTAAGAATCGACATCACAGCACTCGGGACACGCCATAAACGCTCCGTACCCATCTTCAACAGCAAGCGAAGAGTGAAAACTCCGATTGTACCAGTAACTGTCTGATCGTATATCCGTCTTGCCTTTTCCCTGAGTGTCGATCGTCGACCAGATCCCCTCTTGTAACTCCTCGCCGTGCCATTCTCCTCAGACCGTAATGATCTATCTGTGCCTCAACACTGTCCAATCGTTCCCAAAGGGGCCTCACAACATCCAGCTTGTCATACATTAGTTCACAACCAAGTTGTGCAGAACTGGCCAGTATATCTGCCAGCTCATTTCCCAGCACACCAGCATGACCTGGAGAAAATATCCAAAGGATGTCAACTACCCGGGACCTTTGAAGTAATGCTTGCCACTCTGCTCAAAGTATGCCTGTCTCCACCTTCCTCAACATAATTAAAACCTAAATCAGCTCCTTCGAGGATGCTGGATGAATGTGACGATTGTTTTCCAAGCAGAGCAAAAGGGATATGTTTAGTCAATCAGTGTGTAAAATGAGGTTTTTTTACGCCTTTAGGCGCATTTGGTAAATATGGCTAGTTAGTTGCATATCCTTCTACAGGACGATCCAGAACCAACATGTGTGGTTATTCTAGGCAAATTTAAGTCCAGTAGTTTGCCACTGCGCTGGACGGTCGGCTTTCTTGATACCACTGTCGAAACCAACGCAAGGCGCATGGCCCGCAGTTGGGATCGAACCCGGCATTACGAAGCGTTCGCATCGACTTAGCCACAGATAGGGCTAGACCTAAACTTTATAGACCAATCGGCACTCTGTGAGTGATATGGTAAACATTACGCCGGACATTAGTGTGTAATCTGGGATAATCCTGTTTTCTTTTAAGTGACTTAACTCAGTTTATCGAAAGACACAAAGTCCAGAATTGCACGCATGGCTACCGTAGAAAGCGATTTGATTCTAAGGAAAAGGGTATTGGCGATATCTTTCTTGTATTTTACTATTCTGCAAATTCACACGATCACATTCATTGCCCCCCCCCCCCCCACCCGTTTTTTTTCTCCCTTTCTATGATATTAATTTTCTTCTGCATTAGAGGACGGTTGACACTTTGTGTTGTGGTTTATAGCTAGACTGCGATATCTGCGCCTTTCGGCCCAGTACATTCGATTTCAGTAAACCCCTTATTAGTTAGTTACTTTTTACAACATGCACATTAAGGGCGCAGTGGTTCTATCCCCCTTCACAACCCCCTTCCCCGCCCATATGGCTCCGGAACCAATATGCGGATGATAGTTATTATTCGTCTTCTCTTATTTTTCATATAGCCAGGCGAAGTTCCTCTTCGCCATAGCACAAAGCTTGGGTAGTACATGTAATGAACATGTGTTGACCATGCTGCATGATCCCTCCTGGCCTGTGTTGTTTACTTGTTCGAAGCTTTCCTCGTAGACCCAAGCCGTTGGCACAACATGGGAGATCAGGTTTGTTGCACTGCATTCAGCGGTAACACAGAAAACACTTAACTATTGTTGTTTACTTTTACCCCCAACTGCCTTTACTGTTTGTTTTTGCCACTTTTTAGGGCTGTTTCGGATTGGGGGTGGGTCCTTCTGCCTGAAGATTTATGTCAGCATGACGAGTGCAACCTACAGACAAAAATCAAAAACCCTTTCAGAAGATTCGAGCATGGGTCTCCAGATAGGGATTCCAACGTTGTTGTTAACTAATCGAGGGAGCTGCGTGGTCTCGAGGCATGGCGTCCGCCTCGTGTGCTGGAGGTCCTGGGTTCAAGCCCCAGTGAAGCCTGGGATTTTGTTACGTGGACGTTGAGTAATGTCCCCTAGTCTCTGGGTAGTAAGATCGGTCACCCGTGTGGATTGTTGCGCATGTAAAAAAAAAATTCGCAGTTGGAAATCGAAAAAAAAGTTGCCCAACGGCCTTGCCCGGGCAAAATTTGAGTTAAAAATCTACCCAAAGTATTTCAGGATATTCGTCGGTCCTACGGAGTTCGTGCACTGCTCTGAGATTCTTCAGACTCAGGCTTGAGTCAGAGGTAAAACAGAACACTTATGGGTTACTACTCTTGTGACATGATGTTGATCCGTCGTCTAAACCTAAACCTTAACCTATTATTCTAATCGGACAACACCGTCTTCAACGAACGATATAAAAATTGAATATTTTTACATTGTGCTGGTTTTCAGCAACACAAGAAATGTATGCTGTTATTTTTCATTCTTGGCACTGACCCTCAATTTTACTTTTAATCTAGTGTATCCTCTTATCTGTATAGGTTTACAATACCGTCTAGTCCGCTCGCGATCTCTGTGTATGCGCGTGTGTGTGTGTGTGTGTGTGCGCGCGCGCGCGTGTGTGTGTCTTATCAGTCTTATTAGTTAAAGGGGAGGTTAATTAAACTGGATAAAAGATAAAAGATAAAAGATAAAAGGGGAAGACCAAGAAGAAGATGGATTGAAGGAGTCACGGACAACTTGAGACTTCATAACATCACGGCATATGAAGCGACTGAGCGCGCCCTGGCTCGGTTGCCGATCATCTGATAGACTGCGACGCCTAGCGGCACAAGCAGATTTTGACAAAAGAAGAAGAAGAAAAGATATAAGTCAACGTAATGGGGCAAGGGGAGACATATGGCTGCCTGTGACATAGTTATAAACGCGTGTTAGAAAATATGTTTAAACGATATAAAGCTACTTGCATGTCTGCCTGTATACCTACCAATTTAGTGCAAAGTACCATCTTAAGGGGCACACTTGTCTATTATATTAAAAAGTAATGCGTATGATGAAATTGTTAAATCCTTTTAAACTAAAAACTACCAAATTAAAATGATCTTTACAATAAGTCAGTAGCATGTTCTTTGCAGAACCTTGCTCTCATAACAATCTTCCGAAAAACTTCTCGATCACAAGCAAGATGTCCCGCGTCCGATACACCCATCTGGATATCATCCGCCACACCATGCACCCATCTTCTCTTTGGCCTTCCTCTTCCTCTCTTCTCATCATATAACTCTCTGTTATTGTTCTCTCTAAACTTTAAAGACCAATCGGCACTCGGTGAGTGATATGGTAAATATTACGCCGGACATAAGTGTGTAATCTGGGATAATCCTGTTTTCTTTTAAGTGACTTAACTCAGTTTATCGAAAGACACAAAGT